ATGTATAGCCTATACATCCTTAATGGATAAATTACGTAGGAATTTTTGCAATGAGTATAGAAACTGCGAGAACTTTTCCATGGGATTATCTTTATGGTCCCGCTAGCCAACGGGTTAACGAGAGGCATTAATCACCTCACTGACTTGTAAATAAAATAATAACGGGCAGTTACGTCCATTAGGGAAATCGTTGACCCCCTTCTCTGAACGAAATTCTTAATCCGAGTTCTATTGGTAAAATTGTAATAAAAGAGAAAGAAAAAGTAGGGCGGGACGCGTTTCCGTCAGAAAGTGTGTCCAGAGGAAACGTTTTGCATTTCGCGCAATTTCAAATCGTAGTTGATTCAGCAGAAAAATCTTTCGCAATCGAGACTGAAAGCGCAATTACGTTGTAAATGCAACGAGGAAAATTGCGCGCGTTCGAATCGTCGGGTTGATTGAATTGTTTAAGCCTAATTTCGAGTCACCGCATGAGGCTGACGCGCATTTAATCGAGTATGGCACACAATGAAGCTCGGAGCGAAGCGTCATTCTTCTCATCCGGCTTTTACGTAAAAGGCGTGGCGACGTCGTCGTTGTCATTGCAGGCGCCTGCTCGTCAAAGAAGTTACGTGCAGACGCCTACGATCAAACCTATTATACCGTAGAAGACTTTGAACAATGTAACTACAATTACATTTATCAATAAAAAAGAAAAAAAACAATCGAAGGAGAGAACGTCGGTCCAAGTGTTCTGTCATAATTTATTTGTTGACTATAAAAGGGTGAGAAGCTCAAAGTCTCCTGGATCAAGGCTGTTTCGAGTTTCTTTTAATATTGAATTGGCAAATCAGTACGGTTTTAACTTAATGCAATTTCATTCAGATTTGTATTTGCTTTCCATTATAGAACTGAAGTAGGCATTTAAAAGTTTATGATTTACTCAAATTGTTCGATAAAAATGGCTAATATATTGGCTAGTCGGAAAAGTATTGAGAAATTTTTGTCATTTTTTTATTAAATGTTTCTTTTATTAAAAATATATTGGCTATTATTATCTACGACCTTTTGCCATTTTTGGAGTACAGTCATAATTCTATCGAAATAGAACTCAGTGATTTGTCGATCACGATAAAGAGAGTGATAGAAAAAAGTAGAGAATGGACCAGTGAGTCATTTAACATTCTTAGGTCATATTTCACGAACTTATTGTATGGAAACGACGTGCATGAGAAGAGGTCAGCGGTACAAGGTTTTCTTGATGAAATTCACGGTGGAACCATAATCGTGGTGATCAGAACTTGGCAACGTTTACGTTGGTCTCGTGGCTTCGACAAGGTTGAGGTTGAACGAACCTTCGAACAAGAACCTCGCCGACCTCGAGACGGTATTTTTCTGCGGCTAGCTCTGTGATCACCATCAATGGGACTCGGAACGAGCTCTCGTTCGCTCGAATTGCGCGTTCAAATCACCGGAAGCGGTGCGTCACACCTTCGTTAACGATTCGTTATTTCGGGACTGAGGAATGATTGATACTATCAAATTTTCATCCAATGTGTATTCTGCGCGGCAGAATGTAATGCAATTTCTTTTTCGACCACTAAATGAAGTTTTTTAATTAGAACTTGACCTTTCAATGCATCCATTATCTGCATTCGCTGCGCATTCTCAATTAATTGCACGAACTAGAGGTGAAGTATAGCGTACCATTTCATGAATTAATGGCGCGCGACAATGGATCGTGAATCGAAAGTATGGAACGTAATAATCGTGGTTACGTCGCACGCGCATTATGTCACCGTCACGTGCCGCTGTTTCACAGCTGTGAAACACGCGGGATCGAAACGGAACGACAAAGAGACGTCTGCGTCAAACAGCTGCGTTTTTCTTTCTAATCTTCTCATCCCAGGGACAATTTTTTTTTAGAGAAACAACAAACCGCGCATTGGGCATTCAAACTCGAACTTGAACTCCAGTCAAATGACGCTGTTTATTTCATTAGGGACGACGATTATTGAATAGTAAACCTGCTAATGTGAGCGCTAGCACCTAAATTAAAAATTACTTCGTTAAATCAGATATTAAAAAAGTAATTCATGGACGTATTTATGAACTCCACTGTACGTATGTCGCGGCAATATGGAACGTCTTGTCAAGCGGCAACTATTTGTTTTTCATCGTGGAGCGTTTTGCAAAAAGGATCTGCTCCAACGCCACTAGCTGTGCCAAGTAAAATATTATTATTAGAAGACACAGGGAAAACATGTCACGCATAAATACTAAGGATGGATAGTGTATGGTGGAAAATTTGTCTCAGATTAGACACTCTTGTTTTGCAGTCCTGTCCACTTAGGTAGCGCATGAGCAGTCGTTTTTGGAATCGTTATTATTGCGAAACGAGATAGAAATATCATAAGTGTAACGTCGCATATAATCTCGCAAGGATTATCGTTGACCTATCTATCTCAGAAGATGATCCTTAAACAGACCGGTTTTTATCTACCGTTCAACCGCGTTAGCTATAGCCAAATTTCAACCAATTTGATAACGCAATAGCTTCAAGGGGAATTTCATTTTGAAATTACATTCCGTTGATAACGTAATGGCTTTTCCTTTCCTTGTAACGAAAACTCAACTCGATACGTTCACTGCAGAAAATGGATTTCGCCTTCAATTATAAATACATAAGTAAAAGTAAAGACGATAAAACTAAAAACAATGCGACTTATTCTCGCTTTCTCGTTGTTTTTTTTGTGTCTTGCACTTGTCTGCAATATTTGTATTTTTTACGTTTCAAGGTAATTTAGTGTTGGCATTGAATACTTACATACAGCTTGACTAATAATTACAATTTTATTAATATGACTAAATAAATTTCGTTTCCTTTCATTTCTTATAAAAAAAATTCAGAACCGATCATTCGATCTAAATTTACTGTTTCAATTTTTCGCATTTTTACCAAACGCCAGCGTTCCGCGGAACACCAGTTAAGAACCACTGACCTAACCGATGACAAAGTCCAATTCTCGTAATTTCACACTTTATTATATAATACGTACTTCACTTTTTCCCGTTTTATCTGCAATTCTAAAAATACTTTAAATCGTTCGTCATCGATTGAATCTACACCTTCTTCTATAATTATAATTTCAAGAAAACCTCTTGTCCACTTGAAATTAAAAAGCTTTTCACCACAGGTAAGAATGCAGACTCCAAAATCCATACTAATTAAAAGAATCGAACGATTATCGGGAACACCGTGTCTCGCGATAAAGGAAACGTTTACGTCGCAGCACGTGACGTGTTAACTTTTATGATAACCAGCTTCTTAAATCGGCCGATAACAATTTATCTCTGTTATCGAAACGAATACCGTTTTGGAGCAACTTTACGTAATTAACATATCGCGAGCCATTATCATTAGCCACTATATCAACCTGTCAGACAGAGTCTCGTTTTCATCCCCTCTAAATCAGGCCTCGTGCCAACGATGCATCTCAAGTGATCCAGCACTTATTAGCATAAAAAAGAACTTAACAAAATTATCGACGAGATCGCAGGAGAATATTAGCGGTGTCTATATTTATCCATCGTGAAAAGAGATGATCGTTTACTAATGACAATATCTATTCAACGATAAACGCGCGTAACTCTCGCGCTAAAAGTGTCGCGAATCGTACGATGTAACACGTCGCGCTGCCTCGATAGTTATCTGCCTACTTACTGAATTGCAAAATTGTGTTGCTAGGATTAAACGTAATCCACACTTCGTATCTCGTTTATATCAAGTATACACACGCATTTCCGTCACCATTCAACGGATTCGCATGTATAATTAAAACTTTATTATCTTCGGTTTCTTATCAAATTTATTTCCAATGCCGATTGATAACGTGTGTAATTTAACATAATCAATAGACTGAACACAGAATTATCAATTTTATTCGTACATTTCTTTTTTAATTATTGGAATCTTGATTTTGATTACGTCGATTAATCACTGGTGCATATTCGACTATCGAACGCCATCGATTGATCATCAGTGACCCCCTTGGAATTGATTTAGGCACTGCATCAATTTTTTAACATTTCCCTTCACATCTAAATACAACTTTTTTTTATAAAACCCGGAATCTAATAATAAAGATTTATTGTACGACTTGATTTAATGTATTCTTTATTCTTTTTATTACAGGACCCAGCACGTGGGTGTCGAAATTCCCAATGGCTGGAGGATCCAGGCAGAGTCCGGTGAACATCGAGACAGAACGGGTTGAATCCGATCACGAAGCTCTGAGCAGCAAACAATTGCGTTGGAAATATCCGGCTACGGCTTCCCGGAGTCTCGTTAATCCGGGCTACTGTTGGCGAATGGACACCGACGGCGAGGGGACTTGTGAGTTGATTTTTTATTTATTGCAATGGAATTGACAAGGGTGTGCTAAAAATACTTGAGGAAAATCAGGTGAAAGGATTAGCATGAACTATTGAAACGACAGTGGTGGCTATTTCTCGAATGATATAATGACACAAGTGTACCAGATAACTTTATAGCATAAACGGATTCAACGAACGCGAATATTATTTATCATCTCTGAAGGTAAAAGGGAGGTTTCGGGGTTAAGGAACGCGGGTAAACGACGTGTCGTGGCATGGCGTGGCGTGGCGTGCCCGTTTCGTTCCGTTCCGTTCGTGCATTTAAATGCGAAACTAACAACTCGTTCGTTAGCTGAAAAGTCCGGTAACGCGTCGTGAGAACGATTTCGATCCGTCGCGGGCGGAGCATTGAATTGCAGATCGGCCGCGAATGCAAATATCGTCCCCCTCCGTCATATGCCACAGCTAAACATTCGGCAGGAAAGCGTTACCAGAATCTTTTTCACTTTCCCTTTTCGATTTCTCAACACTTTTCTCCATTATTATTCAATGGAAGACTACCCCTGATCCTGTTTTTTTTTTAACTTCATTGCATTTATTGTACGTAATGTTTATTCGATGATAAATTATTTTTTGCATAATTTGCGTCCTTTAGAGCCGATCTTACATATTTTTGCTTATCATATTTGCATGACGATTTTCCTTTACTCGGTACGTTTTCATCGTATAAAAGCAGGGTCAGCTGTATCTTACATAATCCTATTAATACTCCTCCATTATTAATTCAAGTTAGGATAATATGGGTTCACTTGAAAGAGGAAGTAATTGATAAAGTAGAAATCTTGTACAGATTTAGACTCCATGAATATCCGTCTAATTCTGACATTCTAATTTCATATTATTCACCATAATACAAGATATAATTATATCATATAATATAATTTTATAATTTCAAGATAAGTTTTTGCAACACTGTTTATTTGTGAAAACCGAAATTACTTTCTTGCCAACCGAATATTTAATATCAAATGTTCAAATTCGAATGCTTCGTCATTATTTTCACATAATCTTAATTGAAACCGGATTAAAACTGATCCATCTAAGATTGCGCTTAATTGTAACGGCGTTGTTTTGATCACGATGGCCCAAATATAATAACGTATTACTTCATGAAGAGCGACGGACTTAATCCAAAGCGGTTTAAAGTAGATTTTAGCGTCAACCGCGGAGCAGAAGCGGCAGCTAATTGGGTGCACGCTCGGGCCACGGAACGCGGCCCTAATCGCCCGTTTCCGACATTTTCAGAGAGCGTATATCTAATGCACATACGTAGTTCGTTTAACTTAAGCCGGAGAGAACCTGTCAAAGAGAAAAGTTCGCGTCAACGCTATGTAAACCTGTCGGTCGTAAAACTTCATCCTCTCGCGCATACTCGATGATTAGCAATCTTATCTTTGATATCAGGATTACGTTGGATAAAAAAGAATATTTTTCATGGAAAGGAAGGATTCATCGCATGTTCGTTTCGAGCACGAGCAGATTCTAATTTAATCGGTCGTTGGAATTCTGTGCTAATTTTTATCGAAATTTAAGAGGATTGTAAATAGAGAGAGAGGCTACGATTTTTTTATAAAAGGGGAAAGGAGGTTTACGCAGAGAAAGAAGAAGAATTTACAACACGAAGCCTTGGAACATGACTTTATTGTGGTTCACGTGTTTTCTTGGCTGCGGCATAGTGTTTCCATCGTTAGGTGTGCTCGAAACGAGGACGGCTATGCCGTGACGCATTATGCGTGTACGTACGAGCGCGATAGACGTTCGCATGATTAGAAATTATAGTTCAGAATTTCAGGGAATCGATGACCCCGTATCCACAAACCGTTGGTCCATTTTTGATGGCGTTAGAATTAATTCTCACGTACACGTCGTCGTACATAACTTTGAAAATATACTTCATGAATTTAGTTTTTTAATTCTGCATGCAATTACTTTTTTAAATGTAATAATGCAAATATCAACCTTTTTAAATATATTAATGCAAATAACCAATCGTGTGCATTTACGAAACACGTATGTTGCCATCATTATTTAAATAAAATTGGCATAAATCTTACAATTGACGATGCCTATAAGAAGAGATTGAAGTACAATTTAATCTTCACTTACTTGGATTCACTGTATTTAATTTTTGTAAAACGAAGTGTTGCATCGCTTATTTAACATGCATCAATGGTTCACGCGTTCCCATTTGTCAGCCATAAATCTATTTCAATCTTTTGGATTATGACGCGTGCGGGGTTTCTCCTCAACCGACCCCTGATAGAGTATCGTTCGCCTAATTTGGCTAATCAAACATATCCTGTAATTTAAAACGTTGAAACGATCCGCGTGCGGATATTTCACGCGAGTAGAAAACTTTAGGGCTTCGCGCGACGAAGTTTCGTGAAACCTTATTACGAACTCTTCTCGATAAGTAAAGGACGTCGTGTTTCGATCTCTTTGAAAATATGAGAATTGATAATGATACAAAAATAATATAATAATATGTTTGTTGTAGTTTTGAGCGGTGGCCCATTGGTGGACGACGTTTACAAATTGGAGCAGTACCACTGTCACTGGGGCTGCAGTGATTCCAGGGGCTCGGAGCACACGGTTAATGGACAAGCTTTCGCAGGGGAGGTAAGCGTCGCATTTAAGAAATCAACTATTTAAAATCTTAATGAATTAATATATCAAACTCTGTCCAATTGCGAAACTGTCATTGAGTGAGTCGATTAAAAGGACACCGTGTCGGGATGGACGAGTGAATCAACTCGGCCTCTAAGACATTCCCATCGTGCTTCGGCATCGGATTGTTAATAATAATTCACTGCCGTCGGGCATGATTCGCGTCACAATCAGACTTACTCTTGCCACGGCCTTGTCCGAGCGTGTGCACTCCGTTCGTTCGTCCGTGGATCGACAGATACAAAAACCAGTTTCCCATTAATAAATACAATAATTTTACATTTTAATCATGTAAACGTAACGCATTGAAAAATTCTACAAACTCGTCTACATTTGGAGATAGACTACTCGTCTACAAATGGTATAAAGTGTCGT